TCATAGAGGAAACCCGAAAGATAGGCCCAAAGTCAGTCATCACACGAGGACCGATCAGCAACAGCACTCGCGGCCTGAGAATTGCGAGCGATAAGTTAGCGACCGCCAGCTCGGGTCAAGAGGCGCGAGCTCGCGACAAGACCCCTCTGCCCCCCGTAACAGTTAGGATCAAGTTCGTGATTGAGAAGACGCTGGAGGTAGGAACCCATTCTCGCTTCGTGACATTGTTTAGAAGCGAGAACGAATTGAAATACTGGACAACACCAAGGTCAATAGTAACTATGTGGAAGTAGCAAAGAAGCGACAACATTGCAAGACATTCCGATCATCAGCCAGGAACAGCCCACTGCCAAGAAGTAGTCAACCATTGGAACCGAGCAGGGTGAGGGAGGAAGAGAGCTCGGTAACTGCACAATCGGCTCCTGAATTGTTGAGCTGGCCCTCCCCTTGTCACCCGAGATACTAGCGGCCCCAAGGCTGAAAGATTTCAAGACGCCTACACTAGAGACTTACGATGGAAAGTTTGACCCTAATGATCATGTCGATGCATTTTGAACTCAAATGCACCTTGCTGTAGTAGATGAGGCGTGCATGTGGGTGGCCTTTTCCACCACCTTCAGAGGATTAGCCACACAGTGGTACAGGAACATCGCTCTGGGCTCGATCAAGAGCTAGGCTCAGTTCGCCGGCATGTTTATTGCCCACTTTGCTACTAGTAAGAAGTGCTCGAAATCAGAAGAGAGCCTTTTGAGCATGGTCCAGAGGGAGAATGAATCAATCCGAAGGTACATCAAGCGCTTCAATGAGGAGTGTTTGCAGATACTAGACCTCGATCTAGCCGTGCGCCTCACTGCGACACAAAAAGGAGTTAAGCACACTGAGTTCACATGGTACCTCGGAGTACACTGTTCGAAGACAATCGAGAAGTTCCTCGACTAAGCCGATAGGTTCATGAGCACAAAACTCTCGGCTCAAAGACAGAGATCCAAAAGGTCGAGAAGAGAAAGAGAGAAAACGAAGGAGCCAATAGCAGCAAGTACTGATGGAAGAAGAGCTAGTCACCAAGAAGAAGCAAGTCTCCTCGTAAGAGAGGTAAGTCACCACCTCGGGGTTCTAGGTCAGGTTGGCGATTTAGAACCCCTCTTGTTGAAAGGACCTCCTATACCCCCCTCAATGCAAAGCAAGGTGAGGTTCGACTGAAGATCAAGGATTCTTCTTATGTCAAGTGGCGACCCAGACTATGGGGAGATCCAGCAACCCAAAACTCGAACGTCTATTGCTACTTCCATCGCGACATCGGGTACAACACCGAGAATTATTGGATCCTCTGCGACGAGATTTGAAGAACTGATCTGCCGCGGATACTTGAAGAAGTATATCCAACATGAAGGTAGGGAGTCAGCAGACTGCCATGCCGACCAAAGAAGAGAAGCTCCAGAGACGAGTAGAAGGAACGATTAGCCACCTCGGCAACCACAACCACCTGAGGATAGGCCGATCCGCGAGGTGATTAACATGATCCCTAGTGGGTCCATTGTTGTGGGGTGCACTACAGCAACAGGAAAGACCTCAATCCGGGAACTTGAGCATGAAGAAGAGAACCCACTGAAACAACCTTGGGTAGAGGAGCCCATCTACTTCACCGAAGATGATGCGTGTGGGATACAATATCCGCATGATGATCCCCCCGTCGTCAAGGTTGTGATCAACAACTTCGAGGTAAAGTTGGTCCTGGTAGACTCAGGGAGTTCAGCGGACATCCTATTCCTAGAAGCCTTCGACAAGTTGCAGCTACAGTGAAGTGACATGAAGCTGGCAGATTCACCCCTGGTAGGATTCAGTGGCGAAGTAGTTAGGCCCCTCGGCCGAGAGACAGTACCAGTCGCAGTAGGAACATGGCCTAACTCTATGCGCTTTGAGCACACATTCCTAGTGGTCGCAACTCCGTCCCCCTACAACGCATTTCTAGGTCAGCCCATTCTGCATGCCCTACGAGCAGTAGTGTCACCTATTATCTATCGATGAAATTCCTGACGAGCTGAGGAGTGGGGGTAGTACGAAGTGACCAGCTGGAATCGCACAAGTGCTATGTGGCAGCGTTGAAAGGCAAGGCGAAGTTGGTAGAGGATGTCGAACTAGAGCTTTCACCCGAGCACATAGAGGAGTGAGCTGCCCTTATGGAGGAAACAGTCCACATACCGATCTCCAAAGCCGAACCAACGAAGACCCTCTAGATCGGCGCTCTACTAAGCGAACCTCTTAGGTCGCAGCTAGTAAGTTTTCTGCTCAGTAATTTAGATGTTTTTGCTTGGTCCGCAATAGAAATGCCTAGTATTGACCCTAGTATAATTACTCATAAACTTAATGTGGACCCCTCAGTCAGGCCAACTAGACAAAAAAAAAAGAAACCTCGCCACAGAGCAGTGGAGGGTAGTAGATGAAGAGGTCGGGAAGCTCCTCGCAACAGACTTCGTTAAGGAGGTCCATTACCCGAGTTGGGTGGCCAACCCTTTGTTGGTGAAGAAGGCCAACGGAAAGTGGTGCATGTGTGTCGACTACACCATCCTCAACAGAGCCTACCCGAAGGACTGCTTTCCACTTCTTAGAATAGACCGCCTAGTAGAGCGACGTGGGGCATGAGTTGCTGAGCTTCATGGATGCCTATTTCGGCTACTATATCAAATTCTCTAATTGATATAGTAAGTTTATACACGTGAGAAAATTTTCTTCAATATTAATTACTTGAATTTTAGATATATCATAGTTAAAATAGAAAATGAAAATGAACAGAAGTAATAATATAATTAAAAATAAACTTAAATGCTTGTTGTAAATGTGCAAATGCATTGCATATGGAGATTTTAAATTTTTATAACAATTGTTATTGTTATTAAATTTTTTTATTCCACTTCTGTCATAAATAAAAATATTTTTTATTTAATATGATGAATATCTAACATTAGAATTCAAAAAAAATTCTATACTTTTCATTTTTGCTTGTATTTTATCTATTTTTTTAAATATTTTTATTCAATTATGACATCATGAGTTCTTTTTTCTTGAAAAGTTTGATCATTTACCCACCATCTATATAAGAAAATATCTTTGCTTTTGGATCAATTTTAAATTATATATTTCCTCTACGTTATGTAAATAATTTTTACTTGTCACACTTAATTTTTGTTTGTCATAATTAATATATAATTTTTTCTATATTCTTTTTATTTTTTATTGATTTATTATTTAACTATCATATCATCGATTAATCCCTTTGACTCAAACTACTAACCCATCAGCCAAAAAGAAAAATAGTTTGACTTCTAGGTTAACCTCACTACAACAAAACTGACCTATAGTGGCGGATTGTCCAGCGGCGTATTTATATTTGCCACTAAATATATAATTTTTTGTGGCAATTTTATAAAAGCGCCACTATAAATATGATATAGCGGCAATTCATTTAGTAACACTTTGTAAAATGCCACTATATATATTTTGTTAGTGGCAATTATTCATAAGCGCCACTAAAGACCAATAGCAGTTTCTCATTAAACATTAGAGGTGTAAAGTGGGCCATGTTGTGGCCGTGTCAGGCCGATCCCCAAACTTTTCACCAAGGAGGCCAGCACGGCCCGTGACATGGCCCAAGCTCGACATGGCCTGAGCTTGAGCGGGCCCATGTCGTGTCGCGGGTTAGGCTGGCTCGTGGGCCAAGCCTTGGCCCAAGCTGGGTCAAAGCTATTTTTGCCTATTTATTTATAAAAATTGAAAAAAGAACTTAAAATTTTGATATTATGAATTTTGATGTATACAATTGCTTATATATATAATAATTAAATAAATTAAAATTAAAAATAATTGTTTATTTTATTAATATATTATATACTATATATTATTATATAACTATAATTTATATAATATATTATATATTATATAAAAATATATAAAATATATATAAATAGTATATATGGGTCGTGTTGAGCTGTGTCACAGGCCGCGAGCAATAAGGCCCGCTTGGTCATGCTGTACCAACCTGGCCCATGAACCTAAAACCTTAGGCCTAACATGACACGTAGCATTGTGCTAGGCCTAGCATGGCCCGGATGCCATCATGTGTTGGGCCGGTCCAGAGGGGTAGATCCGCAGGTGGCACAGATTTTTTGCCCTCTATTAAACACCTACATCAACGGCTTGGATCATTTTAGATCATTTAACGAATAAAAATAAAAAAATATATTGCGCGGGTTTTTTGCCCGCGTTGAATGAACTCTCCCACCATATTCGACGATTGAGTTCTTCCTCGTCTCCAACTCCACTCCGCTCTCTCTTTCAATCGCCTTGCATGCTTTCTCCTCAAGAATAACAGGTACGGTTTCTTTCTTTCTAGCTGCTGCTGCTTCTTCTTCTTCTTCTTGTCTACAATGGAATGGGTAAAGCTAATGGTTGGAATCGATTAGGGTAATCACGTTTTTTGTTTGTGCATTGGTGGAGGGTGATTTGGCCCGACTTCACAATAAGAAGACACGTGGACATGACTTGACATAGGTGCCAAATCGGCATGGCCAGCTCGCTACAAAGTGATACTCCACTACCCCGAACTAAGGGTTCGAGCTGAAATCATCCCGAGTTAAGGGCACCTTGGTACCAGGTCGCGGCACCAGTACATAATTCAGTTCGAGGTGTACGAGCCTTAGTTCGAGAACATCAATTCGAGGTAAAAACCAACTCGAGTATACTGATCTACCCTCAATATAATCCCGAAAGTCACTCCAACGGTTCCCGAATTTTACGGGATTACGCCTCATAACAACTAAGCATTATCTTCCCRTCTGATTCGGGCAGAAGTGATTAACCTTATCAATTGATAATGTTATTTCCGGTTAACGCAGAAACAGATTCTATCATGACAATGATGTCGGAACTAATCCACGAAGCCCGCGGGGACTCCATTATATAAAGGCCTCCCTCTAGGGGCCCAAGGTACACACGCAATTACTGCTTTCCAGCTCTATTACTTTCAGCTCACACATATGTATCGGAGCGATCTCGTCGGATAAGTACCCCGGGTTCTCTAATTCTTTGTGTGGAGATTCTCCACGTCCGTCGTCTACCGGAGCCAAGTCACCTCCGGCTAGAGCAGCCGGATTGCGTCGCATGATGCATGATTGATGAAATTTGGAAAATTTATTTTTAACCTTTTTTCTTTTCTTTGCAATCAAACATGTCAACCTCTTTTTCTTCTTGTCTGCAACCGAGTAGGGTAATCACGTTTCTTGTTTGTGCATCATTGATGAAATCTGGAATTTTTTCTTGACCTTTTGTCTTCTTCTTTGCAATCAAACAGGGCAACCTCTTCTTCTTGTCTTCAACCGATTAGGTATTGTAATCATTGAAACCGAACAGGGCAACGGAAGAGTGACCGTTTAAATCATTTAAGCAAGGTTTCTTGACCTCCCTCCGTATTCTAAGGTGCTTAGTATACTGTTTGCATTGGTTTCCGTAGATTGCTTCAGAGCTGAATTCTGATTTCTGCAATTCTTACTTGACCCTCCGTATTCTCTATGTTTATATTGCTCTTAGATCTGAGTAATTTGTCAATTGCTGTAAAGTAAATCCAGTTCATGCTGAGTTTGTAAGCTGAGTAATTTGCATAGTTCTTTGGCTTTCTTTTGAATGATATTTTCGTAATGTTTCTATTAGTTCTTATAACAGATGGTTTTATAAACTAATATTTATACCTTAAAATCAACAAATAAAAATTTTGTTTTTTATTAGTTTTACTCTCCAAGGGTCCTTTGGTTGGGAGGAGAAATAAGGAAGAGAGAATGAACAAAAATAATAGTAGGGCAGAGTTGAGAGACCGATGAATAGTACTTAATATTTAATTTGCGAAGTTGCTRTATGAGACTTCCTTTTTGTAATTGTTGGATGTTGAAAGATTAAGCTCAAAGTGCTACCTTACCACCTTAGTAGGGGTTGTAATCAATTTCCTTTTTTTCTTTAATGAAAAATTTCTTTTACTATAAAAAAAGAGAAAACTCTAAAGCTTTTGAAACCTAAAATGTATCATCACACACATTATCTTTAGTCCTCTAGCCCTAATCCCCCCTCCCAAATGAGTCCATAAATTTACGGCCAACGACCTAACTTCCGTTGGACATCAATTTTAGGATGATGCAATTGTGAAGGGAATTAAAAAGAAACAAAAGAAAAAACAAGCATATAAAACATGCGGAATTTATATGGTTTGACCTTTTTTACCCATGTCCATGGAAGATCCCTACAAAACTCACCATTCTCAATTCAATTTTGTACAGTCCTAGTGAACAAGCTAGTATATATACTCAGAGATTACTGAATTAGGTTTTCTTGAGGTTCCTAATTTGTTTGCAACCAAGAATCCAAGAATGAAACATTTATTGAAAATACCACTATATTCAGAGATTATTGAATTAGGTTTTCAGTTTTTCTTGAGGTTCCTAATTTGTTTGCAACCAASAATGAAACTTTTATTGAAAATACCACTCTATGGTTGGCATATGGATGAATTTAACATTACCATTTGGGTTGGGGTTCTGTTCCCTAGACCCTAATGCCCTGATGCCTTACCATCAATGCACAGATAATGGGTTTTGAGTGTAAGGGTGTAGTACCTCTATAAAGCCTTCATAAAGTACTGGATTTGTACAGTGTTGATTTGTGTTGAGGTCTTTCCTTGTCTCTCTTATTTTGGTCCAAAGACTGAGGCAAGAAGTGTACTTGGAAAAAGAAATTTTGTTTTTGGCCTGTCTCCCCTGTGGAACTTACTAATAGATCAAAGATAGGCCTTACATGAAAATGGTCAACGATCCAATGCTGTAAGGTGGATATAGGTCTACCAATCTCAAAACGCCCTCTTTCTAGAATGATCAAATTTTCTCTGCCAAAAAAGTACAAGTAGCAGAAGTTGGTGCAGGGTTACTTGCATGTGGTGATATTATAGTGGAGGTTAGAAATCCTGAGTGAAAGGTTATCTCTCATGAAATTTTTATCTGGATCTGACCTAGTCAGTAATCCTGAGTGAAGGCAGATAATTATAGAACCTTTGGCAAGGTGCAACTGGAGATGTAGGTATGCCCTTGTGCTGAAACAATGAAATTGATGGCAATATGAAAAGCAACATTGAGAAGTACCCTGCAACGTGGAACATAATGGGCTTCCCTTCAAGGGTAAGACAGAGCAAAATGCAATATGGTGATAATTCTATCCATTCTCCATCTCCCAGCATGACTTTAACTTTCTCATACAAGGAGACTTTGTCAACACTAAACCCCAAAATCAAATTGTCATCACCATTTTCTGAAACAGAAGACAACACTTAACTTTCAGCTTTTGGGTATTTGTGTTGCTTTATTAGGACTGGAATAATTTAAGCATGCAATTCTTTTTAAGATTCCAAACCATATTTGTACATAGTTGTATGAATCTTCATTTTGGTTTGGGTTTTGGGATCTCATGGTGTTCATATGTTTCCAACCATATTTGTACAAGCAATGTTGCCTTAAAAATCAATATTATTAGAAGCTGAACCAGATAGAGACCCCTAGGACCTGAACTAGAATGTGATTGGGTCAAGTAGGTTCTTGGGTCAACCTGGATTTTAGGTAGATGCCATGAGTCCACAACAGGATGTTGGTAGTCCTTTTCATTCTACTTTCTTCTCCCTTCCCAAGGAAAGAGGGTATATTTTTTTGGGGTTCATGGGGGTTGGTATCCTTTGGTTTGATCTTGCTTAATGTATCTTTATCTTGCATTTCGTTATATGGAGATATAAATTTAATTCTGGGTTTTTGTATTTGTTATTTGATCTTGCTTAATGCATCTTCATATTAATTTGTTTCTTCTTTTTGTGGTAATTGATTAGAAGCTTATTTGATTAATATTGATAGTTAGCTTAACATTAATTCCTCCTTTCTGGCAATTGGATTTCGTATCTTTATCTTAACAACATCCTTTTATCTCCCATGTGGACTAAATGTCCTTTGTTGGTTCCCCTTTATAGGTTTCTTCTTCTCAAACTGAATAGAGGCAACCACAGTTTCAAGTTTTCTTCCTTTAGCATTGGACTTTGGTGAGGAACTCCCTTTACAGGTATCTTCTTGTTCACAAACATGTAGAGCTGCATACAAAACTTCAAAAGTAAGGCTTAGTTTGTTTGCAGTATGGTATAGATGCAAGGTAGCATAATTAGTCTAAGTGTAAATCTGGTTTACTTTTGCTTTAGATTTAATTGTCTTATTTATCTGTGAAAAATAAAATAAGAAGAAATGATTAGTTGGGATCAGAAATGATTTAATTGTCATATAGTTGGGGGGCTTAGATGATGATAGTCTATTGGATTTATTCTTAGTTTATTGGATTTAATTGTTCTCTAGGCCATCTTCACTCACTGATAGTCTATTGGACTTATTCTTAGTTTGATGTAAGTTGTTCAGGAGGGTTTTGGTTTCTTCCCCAGATCTCCAGAACTCACCAACTTCCATGTAGCAGGAATTACATGGTCAATTCTGTAGTAAGCTGGTCCAAGCTAGATTTGTCCACATTATCTCTGTTCCTCATTATGAAGTACAATGAGAGAGCAATAGAGGGCTTAGCGGTTTAGAGCTTGATATAGCAAATACATTATACATGGGCTGAGGGCTGGAACTGTATGAGATCTTGTAGGATTGCCATAAATGTCTGTGGGTAGGACCACTGGTGTCAATGGGATAAAAGGCTTTTCAACTCTGCTCTCCATTTTCAGTGGCAGGTATGGCAGCAGGCAGAGCTTTCAAGACCTTTCACTCAACATTGATCAGTAGATTCAATCTTACAACTAGAATCATGTTTATGGTGCTTATAGCTAGGAAAAGGTCCAAACCAAGACCACTAAAACAATGAAGATAATAAAACAGGAAAGAGTATCTTTTGCCTTATGGTAAGGTTAACAGTTGAGAAGAGCAGAACTTTGTAAGCTATGACAAATTAAGATGATCCAAGAAATTGAAAATCTTCCAACTACAAGAAGTATAAATTTAATCAAAGAAATTAGGACTACTGAAAAGCATTTTTTCTTGTTTTAACTAATCAGGACCCACCACTAGATGGGGGTCCCACTGCTTATCTATCAACTGATCAGCTTACTTTTAAGTTTTTAACCAACTGACTTATCTATGATCCGGGGTAGGGACAGAGCAGGGTGCACTTGAGGCCCAAAACCTCATTTTACAGGTTTGATCCCACACCTCAATTACCTAGTCAAAGCCTTCACAATATTTCCAAAAATGGTTTCTTGATGGCCTGGCTCTTGAACTATCATGCTTGTCTACCATGGATGTAATCTTTGTTTTTTGCTTTATGTACTTCAAAACACCACTTTTCTCATCCTTCTTTGATGGTTTGAGGTTTTCTTGTTACTGAGGAAGTAGTTATTGATTTTATCTATGCACATATCCCGGAAAATCTTGATTGTTTCAATTCCCTTATTGAGACAGCCTATGGATTCTATCTTGAGTATCCTCCTTAAAAGTACCCTGTGCAACACTTATAAAAATAAACTTTTAAGTCAAAGTTCACATGAGCTTTTTTAAGTTAAATCTGGATTCTGATATTTATAGAAAAATGTAGGGAAAGGATGCATGGTTGTTGACACCATCAGATTTAAGGAGGAAGTTTTGCTTTACTGTTATTGCCTTCAGCCTATGTTTTGCTTTATCGGCCAACCATATGATAGACTGTTTGTCTTGTCCTGTGGCCAAATGCCCGTCAACACCAATCAGGTATAGTTTTCACCTGTAACCACCAATCAGGTATGCCCACAAGAAGTTGGGACTCATTTAGCTTAAAAAAAAAATCCTAAACCGACAAGGTAACCCCAAATTTCTACAATTTATGCAAGAAGCAAAGGATATAGAGACAAACCTGTTGTGCCGCTGTTGCTGCAGTAAGCTGGTTCGTATATGGAGAGCAGTTGGAATAGCGGTTAGGGGGAAATGAGGATGGCACCAGAGGAGGTTGGACAAGAGAATGGAGGTAAGGGGGACGGAGTTGTGTGGGGGATTCCAAGCCATTTCTAGCCGGCTGACAAGGACAGAGAATCACAATTCTGCCAAAACCAAAAACAATCGTTGGGCTAATCACAATTCACAAGCATCAGAATAAAAGGTATGAGAAAAGCATTAGTGGGTAATGAATATGATCCTACCAGCTTCTGTGAACTGAGAATTCCAGTTGCTACAGAAGTTTGTTGCTGATCTTGCTGAAGCATCTTGTCTGGTTGAATACCAATTAAAGCTTCATTCAGCTTTTAAAACTGAACTTTGATATAGCTACATGAGTGATCCGGGGAGAGCAGGCATACGGGATGTTTTCAGGTACCACTTGGGCTCGGTAGTGGCTTGTATTCTGGTTCAATTGTAAATGGTGACGCAGTTAGAATTGTTGGCACTACTGTAAGGGGATTCAAAACTGATTTTATCAAGTGCAATTGGGCACTATAATTCATTGATAGCAGAGTCAATGGCTCTAACCAATGTCTTAAGCTGCTTGCCTTACAGAACCACGTGGTTGGTAATAATCAAATTATAAAATTTGGTACAAAAGAACAAAATCAATTTCTCAGTATTTGATTTCTTTTCAAGCATGACACATAACCTCCCTCAAACATTCAATTAATGTGAAGTTAAAAGCTTCATTTACTTGGTATAGATTGGTTTAAAATATAGAGAAGCTTATTCTATCATAAATTTTTTGTTTGTTGGCTAATACTTTTATAAAAATTCAGCATTGTTCCTATTTTTTGATGAATAGCTGATTTGTGTTTTTTTAAAACAAAAACGAACAGTTAATATATGCAGGTTAAGTACTTAAAGTTTATATCTGTTTATCTTTTGTACACCAGCCTTTGTTGTTCTCCTTTCAACCAACCTTTGTTTGTGAATCCACTTCTACAAGCAAATTCCTGAACTCTAAGTCCTTGCTCTAAACTAGAGTCCATCAAGCACTACTTGCCTTAGTATCCTTATAATCTTTTTGTTTTCTTTTACCTTTTGATACACATTTCTAGTACTAGATCAATTATTGTGATCAAGGAAAGAATTGGACTGCAAGAGCACTGAACTGAGTGGCCCATGACCCAATCATACAACTAGCTGGTTATTTTGATTAATTCTTCTAGACTTGAAATTGTTTTCAAAAAWTTCTATTGTTCTTCCTATTTTACATTTTGGAAATTGTTTATTTTTATTTTAATGTGCTAGGTTGATATGAGGCGGCAATCAYACAGATTACAGTTGTCCAAATCAACTTCAAATGAGCCCCAATCAGATGAACCTACACCACTACAGCAGAGCCAAATAGAGACACCACAACCTGAGTTACCACCTCAACAAAGCCCAACAAATGCACCACAAGTTGAAGAGGACTCTAGCCAAGCACAATCACCTCAGCAAAATGATTCTATGGATCATAGTACATTTATTATGATGGATGTAACAAAACAACTAGTTATTAAACATTTATTATGATGGATGTATAGAAACTTTAAAATTTGGATACATATGGGTATATTATATTTTGTTATTGAATTACTTGTAGTTTATAGTTACAAAAATATGATATTTTGCATCAATAGGTTTTACAGGTTTGGCAACTTACGAATTCATTGTTATTTAAATTAATCTGTACAATGGCAGTTATAATCTTCACTATACATCACTTATATCTGTCGCTATAAATATATAAACTTTTATAGTGGCAGATATAAGCACCGCTATACATAGAATATACAACACAAAATAGTTTATAGCAGTAGTTATATCTGCCGTTATATATACAATATATGCCACAAATTAATTTATAGCGGCAGATATAACCACCGTAGATATGCCACCAATTAATTTATAGCGACGAATATAATCGTTGCTATATGTAATATATATGTCACAGATTTGGTTATAGCGGCGGTTATATCCGTCGTTATATGTTTTATACTGACGAAATATCACTTTTAGTGGCAGTTACAAACACCATTATATCATATACAGATGTCGTGATTTTGATCTATAGTGGCGGATTATTYGTCGCTATTGATTAATCCAACAACAAATGTCATATTTTTAGTGACATATTTCTGCTGTTAATTGTTGCATTTGCGCCGCTAAATTGTAGGGATTTAGTGGCACAAGTTTTATGCATCGCAATTTGCTTTACCGACGCGACTTGTAGCAGCGTAAGTTTAACCGCCACTAATACGCCGCTACATTCCTATAGCGGCGTATATCGGATGCTTTAGCGGCGGATAGATCTGCCGCTGTAAGTTAGTTAGTTTGTAGTGCCTTAAATTTTGTACTATATTTCCATGATTGATAAAATTATTTTTTATGTATAATATTTATTTTTGTTCAATATATTGAATGTATAATATTAGAGATGTACCCAATATTTTATTTTTTTATAAATAAATAACATTAGATATCTGTCCAAAAATTTCTATACTTTTTCCTTTTGTAATTCTTTGTATTTTCTATTTTAAAAGTTTTATTATTTGACTATGGCATCATTTCATTTCTAGGTTGATTTTAAATTTGGCATTCCATTTACATCATTAATAAAAATACTTCTTACATTTCATACTTATTTTTGTTTAGTATAATGAATATACAATATTAGAGATATGCTCAATTCTTTTTATTTTTTGTATTATATATTTTATATATTTTATTTTTTTATAATTTAATTATGGCATTATTTATTAACCCATTTGACCCCAAATGGTTGAATTGCTTACCCACCACCGGGCAGGAAGAAAATGGTTTTGTTTTCAAATTACTTTTTAAAATATTTATTTTATATTATTAGTAGAATTTAATGATGAGAAAAATATATCTTAAATATAGGATTTAAAGAGAAAATATACCATAGATATGAGATTTAATGAGTGAGAATAGGAAAATAGTTTTATTTCTAATTGGTTTTAAATTTTGCATTCTATTTACATCATTAATAAAAACATTTCTTATTTATCATACTTATTATTGTTTAATATGTTGAATATATGATGTTAAAAATGTTCCAAAATTTTTTATTTTATATATATTTTTTGTATTTTATCTATTTTTGAATTTTATTATTTAATTGTGGCAACATAGATTGGCCCATTTGGCCCAAAATTGTTTAAAAGTATAAGTTTTTATGTAATTTTATGCAATTGTGGTTGAAAATACTATTTTTTCCAGGTGGATTTTAAAACTGATTCAATGAAGGTGAATGCAAGTTAGGCCATGTTTGGAAGTGCTTCCACGTAGACTATCCTCTTCGTCACATTGGTTGCACTGGCTAGCTTGGAAAGTGCATCAGCCTCTGCGTTCTCGGTCCTCAGTATCTGCTAGATGTACCAGGAGTGGAAGCCGAGCAGGAGCTCTCTCACCTTGGCCAAATAGGTCGACATGGCGGGCTCTCGGGCCTCGTACTGTCCATTCACCTTATTCACAACCAGTTGAGAATCACTGCATACCACGATGTGCTTTTTGTCGACCTCCTTCGCCAAAGTTAGCCCGGTTATTAATGCCTCGTACTCAGCTTCTTTGTTCGATGCCTCGAATGATAACCAGAGAGCATACTCTAGCTTCACCTCACTAGGCACATAGAGTATCAGCCCATCTCCGCTTTCTCGTTGGTTAGACGAGACATCAACGTAGAGGATTGATAACTCTGCATTTTGATGACTTAAGGGCATCATTTCAGGGGTATTTTCGGCCTTAGAATAGTCAAAGTATGCCCTTTTCCTAGTTAAATTCAATGTTGTGACCTTTGAGGGTCTCTATGCAAATTCTATGGAAAAATGGGGAAGTTACATAGCTGAAATGTAGTTTTTGGGAAGCTGGTGTGAAGTCTAGCTGAGAGAGGGGGTGTTTTTATGAAAAACTGAGAACAGGAGGGCACCTTTTATCTCCACCCTCCACCTCTTCTAATATCCACCATCCATTCTAGGGCACTCTCTTTGTAGTTTTTAAACCTTAGTGCGCCACCTAACTGCTAATCCTCACCATTCAGCCCCTAACCAGTAGATCTCAGCCCTCCATTCCATCTTCTATCTCAACCATCCACTCTAGGGCGCCACCCACCTCTTTTAATCTCCACCTTTTAACCTTAGGCGCCTCAATCTCCTCCATTCATTTCTGGGCGCCCAAATCTCAGCTCTACATAATATTGGGCGCTCTCTTCTTTTCTTCTTAGCCCTAGGATCACCCCAGAATCATCCTAACCCTCCATTAGAAACCCTAGGGCACCAATAACTTTGCTAAAACCCAGCTGCTGCCCTCCTTTTTCTCTCTATTCCCAGTTGTGTCCACTCTTCTCTATAAAAAGGACCCTAGGGGTTCTGGAGAAGGGGTTGGTCAATTCACCCAGTTCACAAGGCTAAGGTTTCTTGAGGAGTTCAATGGTTGTAGAAGGGGGGAAGCCTAGTTCTTGTCAATAGAGGTTCATGGAAGCTGTTCAACCAATCTGCAACTACCGCCACTGGATATGATCAATCGTCTTTTTATTTTCTTCATTTTATTTTCTGTTATTTTTATTCCAGCACTCCTTTAGATTTAATTTATGTTCGTTTTGCTGATCCGAATTTGTCCGATTCAAGGCTAAGATGTCTCGAGGGGTTCGAGGGCTGAAGAAGGGAAGGACACCCAGTTCTTGTTAGGAGGGGTTCCTGCAAGCTGTCCGGCCAATCTACAGCTACCGCCACTGGATCTGAATTTTGGATCACTTTTGTTTATTTTTTTTGTTGATTTCAATACTCCTTTAATTTCTGATTTTTAATTATTGTCTTGTTTAATTCCAGACCTTTAATTTCAGTAGTTATAGATTTTATTTTCTTATTTTCTGCAATTCCTAGTTCCATTTTCTTTTTATTTGTCTGGAACTAGAAAATAATAAATTTTCCCTCGCTTCCTTGTGGGTTCGACCCCTTCCTCACTGCGTACTATGTTGTCTAAGGTTACGTGAGGATTGAAAAGTTATAAATTATTAAACTGGTGTTCCAAAGTGGTTAATGGCACGCTTTTGCATACACCAAGGATCCTAGGCTCCTCATCCTAGGCCGGAACTTTCTTGGTCGGGATGGGTGCTGTGTTGGTTAATGCCTCTAACATGTTAATTGGATCAGTCACCCCAGGGGCCGACGTGCTGAACATGTACTCGACGACGAAGTTTGCCATGACATATGCTTTAATTGCTAGGCGTAACTCAAACCGGATGTCGTACTTGCTCACCTCGATTGCCAATTTCATCAACCTTCCAGAGACCTCAGGCTTCTGGACAATATGCCTCAGAGGTCGATCATTTTGGACTATGATAGTATGGGCTTGGAAGTAGGGCGTAGCTTCCAAGCTACCAAGACTAGGGCAAAGGCCTGCTTCTCGATGTCGGGGTACCTGGTCTCAGCTGCATGCAAAACCTTACTTACGTAGTAGATAGGTCGTTGCACTCTGTCTACTTCTCTGATTAGCATCGAGCTCACTACCTCATCACTCGTAGAGAGGTAGAGTTTCAGCTTGTTTCTAGGTTTAAGTCGGCTCAACAATGGAGGTGAACTGAGGTATCTTTTGAGCTCGTCAAATGCGAGCTGACACTCCTCGGTCCACACAAAGTTTTTGTTCTTTTTAATTGCCTTAAAGAAGGGTAGGCACTGTCCATTCAACTTAGACATAAATTGGTTTAGGGCAGCAATCTGGCCTGTTAGCTTTCACACGCCTTTTATTGACCTAGGTGGTCTCATGTCTAGGATGAGTTGGATTTTGTCTGGGTTGGCTTCGATGCCACGTCGGTGCACTATGTAGCTAAGGAATTTACTCGACGTGACCCCAAAGATACACTTGTTTGGGTTGAGCTTCATGTTAAACTTTCTTAAATTTTGAAAAATAATATTTAAATCATTAACTAAAGAATTTGAAAATTGGGTCTTCACGGCCATGTCATCAACATAACACTCAATTTATACCAATTAATGGAGCAAAAACTTTGTTTACAAGTCGTTGGAAAGTTGTTTAAGCATTTTTCAATCCAATGGGCATAACTTTATAACAGTATAGCCCTAGTTTGGTTACAAAACCCGTTTTCTCTTGGTCTTTGAATCCATCMTGATCTAGTTATAGCTAGAGTAGGCATCCATGAAGTTCAACAACTCGTGCCCTAGGGTCGCGTCTACTAGGCGGTCTATTCTAGGGAGCAGGAAATTGTCCTTTGGGTAGGCTCTGTTGAATTTGGAGTAGTTGACGCACATGTGCCACTTACCGTTGGCTTTTTTTTACGAGGGTTGAGTTGGCTACCTAGCTTAGGTACTGGACCTCTCTAACGAAGTCTGCTGCAAGGAGCTTCCCAATCTCCTCATCTACTACCCTCCACCTCTCTAGTGCGATGTTCCTTTTCCTTTGCCTCACTAGCCTGACTAAAGGGTCCACATTAAGTCTATGAGTAATCATAGATGGGTCTATTGTAGGCATTTCTGTTGTTGAGCATGCAAATACATCTAAAATTTTAAGTAAAAAACTTAGCAGTTGTGATTGAAGTGGTTCTGTGAGGTGAG